CATAAATTTTAACCAGGCACACTATATGTTGCTATGAAAACAGCAAGGGTTTTACTCAGCCATGTGCTACAGACAAAAAGAGAAGATAACATGGAAGCAAGTTTCACTTTCCAGCTTCTTTGTGTCTCCACAGGCTATTGGAACATCATTGTCCATGGGCGAAAGCACTCCTACAGACTGTACACAAAGCTGTTGAATGAAGCTATGCGCTGGGCCTCTGCCATTCAAGGTGTCATTGACAGCAAAGTTCCCATAGAAACGCCTACACAGCAACTCATTCGTGACATCAGGGTAGGTGGCATCGTGCTAATTCCAACTGCGCTGGGAGCAGCCAGATTGCTACTGGCCTTACCCAGTCATTGCTGAGAATCTGGCAAGAAATGGAGTTGCTGTCTTAAGGAAAAAAGAAAAGAAAAATAAATTATTTCTTAGAAATCTAAATGATTGTGCAACTAAATAATAAAATCTTAATGTGAATTTTATTTTGAATTAGCATGTTAATTGATCTGCATCAGTTTAGGCTACAACTGCTATGATTACACCATTAAGCATTTGCAGATCCCTGCTGCATCCTTTCCTCTCCCTAAGCATCCTCTGGACACAAATATAAAAATTTCCACTACTACCAGACATGTGACTTTGCTGTACCGTAAAGTCCTCTTTACACCTTAGGCTTGTGTGGTTAAATAGCAGAGTAAAGGGTGGAAAGAAAATATCTACAGTTGTGCCACTGTAGCAGGAGTAATTTTTGAAAAGGCTTCTTTCTAGAAACTCTGGCAAATTAAATTCAGAATCATATTAGAAGACAGACCAAAGCATACTTCAGAAGAAATGTATGTGTAAGCATATACATTGTGATAAGCTCCAAACTAGATGCAATTAGATAGTAACTGTTCAGGAAGAAAGAGCTGGAAGTGATTGTGGAGAACCTTGGAAAACTTCAGCTCAGGGTTCAAGGACAAATGGAATGTTAAGTATTGTTAGGGAAGGAATACAGGACAAAATGTGGAAGAATGTGATGACAGTGTGTATGATAGTGACAGGCCCAGATTTTGAACACCATGTGCATTTTGGTTGTCCGTTCTGTAAACACATCTAGTATAACCAGACAAATTCAGGGAGGACAGGTTCATTATTACATACTAAACATGGTGGATCTGTGGTCAGAAAGTCCATTAACCATTTACTGTTGAAAGTTTGAAGGATATACCAGGGAGGAATCACGCCATACGTGCCTGTTACATGCCTGCATATCAGCTGCAAGCCACATTTGAAGTCAAGATCCTGTGCTTGGTGACCTTTGCTATGACCCAGCATAGCTATTCTTATGTTTAATTTTCAGAAATAATGTACAGAGTAATTTTTATATGTGAATTATGCTTTGGTCACCTAGTCCCTCTATGGACTTCCAGAAACTTAGATAAAGGTGATTGAGCTTGAACCTCAATGTATAAGGACATCCTGCGAAAGGCTATCCCCATTTGAGGATAAATCTTTTTTTTTTCTAGGAAAACAGCACGAACTTTGAAGTAGTGGAACAGACATATAAGAGGAACCCAATCTTGCGATATACCCAGCACCCTTTGCATTCCCCATTGCTCCCACTACCGTATGGAGATGTTAGTGTCAACTGTAAGTATTTTACCCATGTGACAGAACCCACTCACCTTTTGAGGATCAGTGTGGAGCCTGAGCACCACAAAAGTGGTCTGTAGGCTCTCTCTATGCAGGTGAAGTCCTTCTGGGGCAGTGTAGCCCACAGGGTTCAGAGAGAGGGAGCAGTCCCTTTCTCTACCCGGAATGTATTCTGGGTCCACTGCCTCGTATCTTAGGAACGCTGAATCTTAAAGTAAATGGGGGCAGATAGTTTATCATCCGTCCGGGGGATGTGCAGCCTGTCATCTTTGAGCTGCAACTGGGTTGCAAATGGCTCCAGTGCAAATCCTACAACAGGATTACATCATGGCGGTGGGATAGTATTCATACAGAAGCTGCTGTAAAACCAGACTAAATGAATCCTTTCTTCAAATGCTTCAGGAACATGAAAGAGCTAGCTTGTTTGATAGGCCACCAGAAAACCAAAGGGATTTGTTGATGATTCGAGACTGTTTGGCATACTAAAACTGAAAGCTGCTGCTGAACACCTATAGAAGAATCTCTAACGTGGAGTGACTGGGCCACAAAATCTTTTCAGAAATGAATTTCAATCTGGATATGCAAAGCAACGTATATGGGAAAAACAGTCTGCCGCATAGGCAGTGATGGGTCTGAGTGATCTAGTTCTGCTTAGGAAAGTGAACACAAATTTACATAGCTTTGTGAAAATGTCAACTCTTGTGCTGAGCAGAGAAACAAAACAGCTAATGCAAGCTTTTGAAAGCTTAGAAAAGGAAAAAGAAAGTCTTTGTGCGGCTGTATTGATGTATCATGCACCTGCATCTTGAATACGGGATGCAGCTTGGCCTTCCACATCTTAACAAAGATACAGGAGAAGTAAAAACCTACCCAAAGGTGATCAAAGGCATAGAAAGACTTGCGTACAATTAAGAGGCTAAATAGGGCAGGACTCTTCAGCCTCAAAAAGAAGTTTTTAGGGCAAGAGGACTGTCATGGAGAAAGTGAAAGGGGAGTAACTGCTCACTGTCTTTCCTGATACAAGGTTTAAATTAAGTGGCAGATTAAAAGCACAGAAAAAATAAATTGTGAAATACAGAAAAATTACAGAGCAAATACTTACACTGTGGAACTTATTGCTATAGGGCTGTGTATTTGTATTGTACAATTAATGCATGGCCACTGGGGAAGCAATCACTGTATAGGAGATTCAGAAGGACCTACAGCCCCAGAGAAGTGCAAAGGAGAATGCAAACCTGCAGCAGTACGGTAGTATCACATACTTCTGAGCAATTCAAAGCAGACATTTAGGTGCTTAAAAAATGTAAGCAGTGTTGGTGTAGGCATTGTAAATCTAAACGATAAGTAAAAGCTGCATCTGTGGTACAGCAATTTGTCAAAATTCTGTGTTGGCTCAGGGGTCAAAGCTAATACGGGCACAACACAGAATTTTGGAAGTACGAAAGCCAGGCTTCGGTGTCTGCATTCAGGCACCTAAAGCCTTAACTGCATTAGTGACCCTCTGCTCTATAGCTGCCTCTCAGGTGAGGAGACAGTTTACACAGAGATGACTTTCTGCCACCCCTTCACCTGTGTCTGCAGATGAGGTGCCAAAAGCTGTCTCTTGGCACCTCATCTGCAGACACTGAAACCTGAACTAGATTTCAGTGCTAGTTTCCCTTAAAAACATTACTCTTCTTTTCTGCACGGTATATCTAAAAATGGATTTGCAGTGGTGACAAGTTAGATGTTGGCAAATACTAATTAAACTGCATTTGCACATTTAAAGGGGAAGCATTAATGAATTTTGAGTATAAATTTAAGTTCAGGAGATGAGCTAATGCTCAGATTGCTGTTTTTCTGTGACAGACTAGTACAGTTGCTAGTAGTGTGGCTGGGCCAGTAGAAAATGAGGGAGATGCTCACCTCTTGTCACCTTTGTGATCGTTCCCCAGTGCAACAAGAGAAGGGCTACAGCAGCTTACAGGATGAAGCAGTGAAGATCTTTAACTCCCTCCAGGAGATCGAGACAGTGTCTGACCCCATACCCATTATCCAAGGCATTCTGCAGACCTGCCACGATTTAAAGCCCCTTCGTGATGAAGTGTACTGTCAGCTCATCAAACAAACTAATCACATGCCGCATCCCAACAGTACTGGGAACCTGCACCACTGGCAGCTGATGTCATGTATGAGCTGCACTTTTCTGCCCAGCAGAGGGATCCTTCGCTACCTCAAGTTCCACCTTAGAAGGTACACGTCCTTTTCATTTGCAGCCTGTATCCTTTCTCCCTGCTTGTCTTCCACTGCCTGTTGTAGTTATCTGTCTCGCCCTCCTCCTGGGCAAACATCTTCCTGTGGTGTCACAGCCTCCTACCTTTGTGCACAATTCTTGCTACCAGTTGTTCTGTTGTATTCAAACTCCCACCTTGCCACCCATCTGTTGTGTCGAAAGGATGTGGAAAGTAAGGCTACCCAAACAGAATACTGTGAAACTGTCTTAAAAGTGGATGTACAGCCGATCACCTACTGCTTGCTAATGTCCATATAAACATTCTCAACCTGCAGGAAAGGTGAGGACTGTACTTTCATATTCCTTGAAATATGTACTACCTTGCAGCTGACACAGTCAAAATATGTACTGTGGAGTAAAAGATGTGCGTAAATCCAATTTCTAATTTTTCAATATTTGCTTAACTAAGCACATAATGCTTACAATTTGTATTTCTAATCTGCTTTAATCTCCCATTTTCGTGAACTAAATCATTTACATTTCTTCCCAACTCATGTTCAGGATCTAATGCAGCTTTCCAAAGCAGCCTGCATTGGGGCTGAGCTGCAGCCATGTAGTCTCACTCTATTCATTAATGGTGAGAAAGATCGATAAAATTTATTTGAATCCTTTCAAGCTAGGAAAGAGAGAGGTGAAATTTGTGCGAATACATGAAATAGCTACATCCCGGGCCTGGTTCTAGGAGATGCTGAGGAGTACCACATGTTGCCATTTCATGTTTTTATCACTGGAGTTGCAGATCATGTTATACTTAGAACTGCTGGCCTTGGAGGGAAGAGAACTGTGTACAAGCATCTACTTTCTACCTTCATGATTCTGAAAAATACTGTAAAAGTGGCTCAAGCACAGCCAGCAAATTAAAAAACAAGAATAAATGGAAAAAAGTTTACATTTGATTTCATAGTTTTTAATCTCAATTTTGTAAATCGAGATAGTCAATCCTGCTATCTTCAAATGGTACTATACTCCTGAAAGTTTGAACTGCTTATTTCGTACATTGCTGAGAAATGCCACTGAAGTGACTTTGGAATGACTAGTAAAAGCAGGTTGTATGGTTTAGGAAATAAGCAGGCTTATTCTTCCTGTGGTTGCACTTGACATCACTATCTCTACTGACATCACTATCTCTTTACGTACAGTAGTCCAAGTTATATGGTAATGTGCATGCTTTCTGGTTCACTGTGTGATAGCTTTTTTTGCTTCTCTTTACAATTAGGGTAAAAGACCTCTTTCCAGGCTCAGAAATAGACAAGTATGCACAATTCATAAGTGATTCCCTGAAGAGAACAAAGACAAGGGAGTTTGTGCCCTCCCAGGAGGAAATACAGGCTCTTCTCACCCGTGAAGAAATGACCACAACAGTGTACTGCCATGGCGGTGGCTCCTGTAAAATAACCATCAATTCCCACACAAGCGCTGGAGAGGTAATGCATTAGTAGCATTAACCAGATGTAAGCACACCTCTGTGCTGTATCCGCAAAGTCTGTAGGGAAGGCTCAACTTACTCTGCGGGTTCAGAATTATACAAGGCCTATGCCTGGGTTGTAGAATATCACTTAACAATTGTGTTGCAAAATCTAAACACTTTTGGTGTTCTGCCCACTGGAAAGGTAATAATTCTGAAGACTTGCTAACACAGTTTTCTGGACAAGTTAAATTCCAGTTCGTAACGTAATCTTTCTAGAAGGGATATTCTACCAGTAACTTAATGGTTAGCAGAAGCAAGATTTCAGGTTATAGTAGGCATGTCTGTGAAAACATTAGTGCTAAACAGAGGTAAAAATAGTAGTAAAGAGTGAAATTGTTACTAGAGGAACCGAGAATATCATCATGACATCTAAATCCATTATGTGCTTGCATCTTGTGCAGAGTTCTAATTCCCTCATCTTCAAAAGGGTAGGGAGATTGAAAAGGTTCAGAGAAGAATAGCAAGGATGACCAAATATAAGTAATGGCTTCCTTCCAGGGAATGATCTTTTCGGGTTAGAATCCTTTAATGTGAAAACGAGATAACCAAGGGAGAAATGTGATGGAGGTCTATGAAATGATGAGTGTCCTGAAGAGGTACTGATTCTTTGTTGTGAAAGTGTGTGTAATACCTACTCTGTGATCTGTATCTTTCTGATTTTGCAGGTGGTTGAAAAGCTGATCCGAGGTTTAGCAATGGAAGACAGCCGTAATATGTTTGCGCTCTTTGAACATAATCAGCAGGTGGACCGTGCTGTTGAGAGTCGGGTGATTGTGGCTGATATCTTGGCCAAGTTTGAGAGGTAGAAGAATGTTTCATAAAATCTTTAACTCCTAGCTGGATGTAACACTGATTTAAATGATAGTACGGTCAGGTAGTTTTATCCAAAGCAGCGGCAGTGATTCAACTGTTCACTCTGGTTTGAACTTCCCTTTGGTAAGGTTCAAATGCTCTTTCTCACTGTGTGGAAAACCATGTTCACATCTATTTTGGTGACAAAGAAGCATTCTTTATCAGGCTCGTCAGGACAAAATTAGTAGTGCCTTTATCAAAGAGTAATGGTTTACTAGCAGAGCTCAGGGAAGGTTTGCTTAAGTCTGATTATGATCTTGTCAGTTTACATCACAATAGCTATATCAGAAGAGCGAGCAAAGATCTGGGCATAGAAACGCAGCTCTAATTTCTTACTGTGGACTGTGATTTTGTGGCCAGACATACAAAGAAAGCAATAAATTGTGAAAGAAGCTGGCAGTGCCATTGTCTATTTTATATCTGTTCTAAAGACAAAAATAAAATTGTTCCAAATGGTGGCAAGGCTGGTGCTTTTCAGAGTCACAAGATTACATCAAAACAGTATCTTGAAAACGGGGACTGCTTTGTGTCCTGCCCCCAACTCTTGCATGTATCTAGAACTGTTGATCTAGTTTTTTGATCAAGTATATCTGGTAAGAACTTTTGAGTCCTTCTGAATAAAAATTTCATGTGATTCAGAGGAAAAAATGGAAGTTACCAGAAAAGTCTGCTGCACTGAGATTGTCCTGGTAAATTAGGTAGCTCTGTATGCTCTCTCTTTCAGAAATACAGGGGTACCCTCACATTGTCAGTTGCACCGTGGACATCCCAGTACCATGGTGCTTCTGGTTGCTTTTTTTTTCCCCCTCTCATTCTCTTTCCCATCTTACAGACTTGCTGGCTCTGAAGAAGAAGAGGAGGAAGGACAATGGCAGCTATATTTTAAGCTTTATTGCTTCTTGGATATTGAGAATGTTCCCAAAGATGGGGTGGAGTTTGCCTTCATGTTTGAGCAGGTAAGCTCGCTCTGGGAGAATGATTTGTTTCCAGGGTGGCAGATGCACACAAGAGTATACAGAAAACTGGCTTACCTTTGTGTTAGAAGTGGGAATGATGGTTTGAACAGAAGAATTCAGTGTGTTGGATTTTTGCCTGGAATCTACCAAGCAGATACATTGCGAAGTTCTCTAGGGGATAGGAGCATTAGAACAAAAGCAAGAAAAATGAACAAGGGCTTCAAAAAACTGGAAGGTCAGTGATAATAAAATGCTTTTAAAATTTGTCTTTAAATTTAAAAGATACAGAAATTTGGCTAATGATTCAAGAAGAATCATTAAAAGTAGCTGCTTGCAGAACATAGGTGTAAAGAAAACTGGAAAATCTAGCTATCTGTGTATCAGCTTACAAGAACAGCACATCCTTGGGGTGTTACAGGAATTGACTAAAAAACCTATCTTTTGGGCAATTTCTTTTGATTAACAGAGACGCACTGCAGAAAAAGGAAAAGAGAATGTAGTTGACAATATTTATCTGCTGAGTAATCTTTTTTTAAGTCACTGTACTCCATAGCACAATGATGGTGGTTAGGCCAGAGATCACACCGCTGTGAAATAACCTTGCAATTAGGGATGCATAACTAAACTGACTGGAGTACCCAGCTGTGCTATTCGTCCCATCTTTCTTACTTCTAATGAACACTTTGATCTTGCCTCAGAAAATTACAGCTGCTGCAAATTAATTAATACGTGTTAAAGGGGGTCAGTGTCATGAAGACTGAAACTCACTGACAGTCAAATGGATGGCATGTGCATCACACTGACAATGGTTCCCTAAGAGGGTTTCTTGAAATGAAGATTAAGTATTGTTAACTACAGAATGTCTAGGAAATGGTCAGGAACAAGACATCACGGTACTCTGTGGAAACTCAATTGTACCAAACTCCCTGTTGACTTCCAGTCTACACAGCTTTCACTCGCAGAGAGTGGTGGAAGAGAAGTAACAGTAGGATAGTAGATGTTATCCAGACATTAGACGGATGTAGCAAAAAAACCCCATAATAAATATATTTCACAGAAAAACAGGCAAAGGGAAGCAAGAAGGTTGGGGGAGATACCAGATAAAAGAGGAGGAGGTGGGAGACGCTGGTGTGCAGTGAGACTGAGATTAAGTCTTGAGTTTATTACATCTCATTTTCTGGTGTTGAATATAATCTCCACACAGGAGCTGTAGCTGGTACAGTACAAAACAAATTGTCTCAATTCCGGTCTCTCCCATCTGTTCCAGACCTAAAGACTCCTCATTGTAAGACTTTCAGTACAGGATAGGGGCCCCTCAGAGGTCTCTGTCCTGTCCAGGCTTGCAGAAAGAGGTGTTCCCTCCACATCGACCACTTGCAGACTTTGACTTCTTTATTATAATGTCTGCTTTGACCTCCTGAATTATGTCTTTCCTGCTGGGATGGGCAGATACCATAGGAATCTGTACATGGACCCAGCTGTGAATAAAGTGTGCTTCTGCTTTCTAATGAGTTTGGGGGACTTTTTGTTTGTTTGTAGGCTCACGAAAGCCTCATAGATGGCCATTTTCCTGCACCAGAGGACACTCTGCAGCGCCTAGCAGCTCTACGGCTGCAGTACCTTCATGGAGATTATTCTAAAATAAGTTGGACCCTGGATGGAATCTACCCAGTTAACAGACTAAAATCCAAAATACTGCACTCAACAAAGAGCAGCGGCACTACCAGTCACACTCTGGAGAGGAGACGGACCAGCTTCCTTGAAGGGACTTTGAAACGTAGCTTCAAGACAGGCTCTGTAAAGAAGCAGAAGGTAGAAGAAGAGCAGATGATGGAGATGTGGGTAAAGGAAGAGCTTTCAGCTGCTCGGGCAAGCATAGCACAGAAATGGACCAAGCTGCAGGGACTCTCTCAGCATCAGGCCATGGTGAAATACATGTCCATTGTAAAGGAGTGGCCGGGTTATGGGTCAACCCTCTTTGACGTTGAGGTGAGCGATGTATAAACTTATGTAACTACTACCAAGGAGAGGCATCAGTCTGGAGAAGAGATACAGCTATGTGTATTACATTGCTCAGCAGCAGAAGGGAATTTCTGGAACTGATTGCATTTTGCCTTAGTAAGCTTAGGGTAAGCCTGCAGTACCACATGCTCACAGAGGTGTGATGCAGAGAGCACAGAGCAAGCATGCTGGTGCGTCCTGGTAAATGGAGGGAGACAATGGATTCCCACTTCATTAGAAGAGCAGTAGAATTTGGGAAATTTTTCTGGGCTTAAGGAGGTGGTGGCTAGTGAAAGCAAAAGTAAAATGAAGCTCTATTGTCCTTACTGGCAAAAAGTGCAATCCTGTCCTGCAGCAGTACAACAGAAACTGCTCAGACTGGGTCACTTAGATCCCTCTGCTTAGCCTGCTAGAGCGGGAATCCACAGTTCCAGTTTTATCAGTTTTGGTGTGCCTAGGTGGATTCCATGGGAAGTTGCTTGCACTCACTATATTATCTGTTAAATGATAAGTGGAATATTGACTTCCTAAATCACTTTAAAATCTGATGAGAGCTGTTAGGTATTACAACTATTTATTACTCAACTAGTATTTGACTCACAGCCATGTCACTTCTAAATCTTTGAAGCAGGAGTGCCTACAAGACTCCGTTTGCAGACATCCTATTTTTTCTATTGGGATGAAGAGTTGAAATGTCCTATAGGAGCCAGAAATGGAGGGCTTTTCCTTAAATCAAAGATTATTTGATCCTCCACTGCATTTATGCAAAATTTCACATTTCTCTTTCTGCAGTGCAAGGAGGGTGGATTTCCAAACGATCTTTGGCTTGGAGTCAGCACAGAGAATGTGTCTGTCTACAAACGAGGGGATCCTAAACCACTAGAAACTTTCCAGTATGAGCACATTGTTTTCTTCGGAGCACCACAGCCTAACACCTTCAAAATTACAGTGGATGAGAGAGAAATGTTCTTTGAAACATCCCAGGTACATGAAAGCACAAGACTTCTTGTATGTGCTGTTGTACTAGCACTTCAGTAAAGCTCTAATTTCCATGGACTAGACAAGTTTATATGTGAGAACTCTTGCTGAATGGACTGGACCGCCAAGGAAAAAGATGAAGGGAGCTTAAGCCTAAAGTGCCATGGTACCTCTTCTTGAATACAGGGATAAACAGAAAAAAAAACAACAACCCTGGTTAGAAAGTGAAGGAGGTTGAATGATCTTCCAGTGCACTGGGAATTTCTAATTTTGGGTGCTCATGAGTGTGCTCAATTTTTTTCATTCCCTTCCAGTAAGTATATAAAGGGAAGTTCACAAACTAAAAAAAAAAAAAAGTTTAGTAGCGTTAAAGTTGCTTTTCTTTGAGCTACAAGCTTTTTAAGTGTCGCTACAACAGAGCACAAACTTGTCATTTCTTTCACTTTCCTTACTGTCATGTTCACATTTAGTATTACATGCAAAATTTATAGTGCCATGACTTTGGGCAAGGGGAATCTTTTCCTGCAAAATGTCTGGCATGCCTCAGTGGAATTAGGTTTTTAATGTGCTTATCCTCTGTTACTGTGTTCTCTCTCTAGGTGGGCGAGATAATAAAGATCATGAAAGCATACATCAACATGATTGTGAAGAAACGCTGCAGCGTCAAATCAGCCACCAGTGTGGACAGTCATGCTAGCATCTGGACTAGGTGATATGAATGAACTGCCATGAGAAAAAGGCAGTTGTTTAATGATTGGTGTTTGCAACTTGCCAGCACAAGTGTAGCAAAGATGTTTTTTAAGAACTCCACTTGACTGACTACTGTATTTGAAAACTGAAGTGACATCTACAGTACCATAGGATTTGCACCTATGCCCAAAGACATTAAACAGCAACAACTGTTGTTAAATATTAATGGCCCAAAACTTGTTTTTTCCCTTGCTTGTTCGATGAACAATGTACCTTAAAGAAGCAACATCAGAAGCATCCTCCTTCTCCTGCCTGCCTCTCTGCTGCTTTCACCATTACCTGTCATACTGGCAGAAAAATTCACAAGAATCATTTCTGCACTACAGGAGGCAAACTTAAGCTTCCTTATGAATTTCCAACACGCAAACATCTGGGATCTTGGGATCGCAGCATGGGCTGCTAAAAGAATATTTGGGTTTTATTTATTTTGCAAGCAACTCTAAAATATAAGTCACTGTGGGTTTTTTCTTCAGGATATACTAATGATCTGATCTGGCCTTAAAAGAAAATGCCTTTGTATAATTGACGCCAAGTGGTCCAACTAAAAGGTCAAATGCTACATGAGGGAGCATTAAACAAACAAAACAAATAAAACCACCTGAGGTGATTCTTTACCTTCCAACAGAAGTTCACAGGTACACGGCTGTAAAAAGTGGCACTTTAAGTTAAAATTCTAAATATTCCAACATAGGAGAAAATCTTTGGGACTAGCACCACTGAAATAGATCATCAGGTGCCATTGTGGGTACATTCCAAGCAGCACCTGTTGCCTAAAAATTGATGACTGCCTTTCCCCTATACAGCTCAGGACGTGAGGTTGATTTAGTTGTGTTTCCAGAAGAGCTGTTCTTCACAAACACCAGGTTTTAGATGGAGGTCAGGGGTTTTTATGGTGAGCAGCCTGCCTGTGTTAAGTTCCTTCTTTCTCTATATGGGATTTTAGGATGACTGGGATCCCTGAGCTTTAGTTTTAAGTGAACTTTCCTACTGAGTGAATAGGTGCCTAGGTAAATGGTTATAGGCAAGAATTTCACTTCCTCTGTACTTCTGTAAGCAGATGCCAAACCCTTCATCCTCCTCCAAATTCTAATTGGAACTGCTCCCATCACTGAATCCCCAAATCCCCTTCCAGTCTCCTCTAGGTCCCTAGTCGTCAGCAAAACTTGAAAACGATGCTGTTTTGCCAAAATAACTGCTGCTTGGAGGTTTTTATAGCTACTTGCAATTTGAAGAAGCAGAATTTTTTTTTCTTCTTAGTGAAAGATGACAGTCATCTTCAGTCTCTTGACTTCAGAAACTTGATTTCTTCGTTTAAAACAATATTCAGTATCAGTCACATCATAAATTGGTTGCATTAGCAATCAAGAAACCTGGTGGCTAGCCATTTTCTATGCCCCTTGTCTAGTCTTGGGATCCCAGAATGCAAAGGCCCATTCAGTTTCTTAATGAAACTGTAGAGCTGTATGTAATGCGGGCCTTGTTCCACGTTTAAAATCAGATGTCTCCATTTCTGAGGAAGTGGCAGCTAAGGACTATTAACTATGAAATAGAAATTTCACAGAAAAGAAAACTAGGAGTCAGTATGCAACAGGTTGCGTTCCAATTCATCATCAAATTGTGCCATGTCACTAATACTGTGTTGCAGAACACTGTAGTTTGAGGATGACAGTACAAGAAAAAAACACAGTGTACATAATCCGTGCTTTTCTTTCATTTCCACTGCACTGCAGCATGTGCAAACACTCTGTCCACTTGCCACGCAAGCAGCCTAAGAGGATAGCCACTACTGTGTATCGTACGTTCAACTGGAGTTTTGCCTTAAAGAGCTTTACTGAAGGATCCTACAAACATCCCCTTTTTGTCACAAAGAACGAAAAGATGACCAGGTCACACGTGAGAGAGAACAGGAATGCAGAGGCGACCTGAGAAGTAACACTTTGTATTGGTCCGTACACTGACTAGATCTCTTTATGTATCAGAATAGCCTTGATTATCCCTGTCCTAACTCTGCACTGTCTCTGTGTTCTGGCTCTTGGATTGCTGCAGGCAGCTTGAACCCACTTGGGAATGTAACTCCCATTACTATGTGTTGTAATTTTGCTCATTTCTATTACAGAATTCCTTCTGCTGTCTTTTTTAATTTGTAACTGGCTTTACAAGATGAAAGTTTAATAAATTATTGGATTGCATAGGCTGTATTCACTCATAGACATTGTGTGCTCATGTTAAGATGTTTACTCAGAGATCTAACACTCAGAACTTGTAAGTGAAAAGCAGGCATCAACGGCATGAGGAGACAACAGCCCTTCCCCTCAGAAGCAAATCTTGCATTTGTGGCGAATTACAGACAATAATTTGCCACTACAATGGGGGAGGTTTGTTTCCAGCTTCTGCCGCTCACTGGAGCTGGGTCGCATCTTTGGTTGGTGGGAGATGTCCCATTCGAGTTCAAGGGACTGGTTCCGAGATGGTTACTGTGATAAAAGCAGAGCAAGGCATAAATCATCTCCAAAGTCCCAGTTTGCAGGATCAGCTCCATCCCTTCTCTTCAGCACCTCCGAAGTCACTAATAACAGAAAATCGCTTCCAGCTCAAATAAGCTGCCAGCTGCACTTCTCTTACAGTAGCGTGACCCGGCACGGTGCTCACCTAAGAGCATGTGTCACCAAAGTGGTAAATCTGGACAGAGGACAGCTGAGCTGTCAGCAACACAGGCAGACTGTCCTCTAGCAGATGGAAGTTCCTTCAATACGTACACAGCTTCGGAAACCAAGCAATGATGTGTAATCCCCATTACTATGCTCTCATATATCCCTTGGTCAGATGCTCTGAGAGCCGTGGGACCCTGGAGATAGGTCTGTGCAATTTCATCTCCGACTGTTCACAGATTTTCAGTTTCTTCATGCTTATCACCTTCCATAGTCTTTCCCAGTCTTTATTTGAGGCTGGAACTGCCTCTGCTTACTTCAGCAGTTGCTTTTCTTTCCTCAGCTGTTACATTCCTTTCTGTGCACTTCCAAAAACACGCTGTCTCTGCCTCCCTTCTGCTTAGGAAGCCTGAAGTCACACACAGGCAGCTACTGCGTGTTTGCGTGGAGGAGGGCGTCAAAACCGAACACAGGCCGCTTGGCCTACACATCTCCCAGGCAGCCCTCCTGTGCCGCAACACCTCTCAGTCACATCAGGGTCCGGCATGGCGTCTCCCCCCACGCGCTGCTGCTGGGCTGTGACTAACTGAAGCTGCATTTTTTTTTTTCTTGGTGGCAAAGGCAGAGGCCAACCCCAGTTGCCATGCAAACACGCACCACTGCAGGTCCAGCATGACTATGACAGCATGCACAAATTCATTTATGACTCTTGTTGCAGTGAATAACCACCCAAGGCGATGGCCGACTAATGGTGTTCTCCCCCGCCCATGCTAGTTCTGTTTTATCACCCTGTCAGTGTGGTGTGCAGCCCCTGCTGGCCCCTACCCCAGTATTTCTCTAATAGTTAATGCAAGTTTGTATGTTCTAATGTTTCTTTTCTATGAAACAGTTTCATGCCAATGGGTGTTAGAGTTGGACTTTGGACCAGGGTACAATTTATAATCAGCACCTACACAGTAATCATAAAATTGGTTATACACAAAACCACAGCCCCTGGTAAGTTATATCACAAGCACATGTATCTAATTATTAAACCAGTTTGACTGTAAACGTCAACTGTTTATTTACACTTTGTTCTAAAACACACAGCCTTTCCATATGTAGCCTGTATGTTGTATTATTATGCTGTGCATTAACTTCAAAATGACATGCTCCCCCTTGGGCATTTAAGCAAATCCCTCACACATTAATTCCAGCCCCACTGTAAAATACAAGCTCCTAAATCTGTGGATTGCAAATTTGCTAAGCTCTTGTCCACTTTTTATACCAGAGATTCCTGATGCTGCAATTGGCTATACACCCTGGCCCCATGCCACTGTCAAAACAGAGGCGATCACAGAGAACTTGATTGCCAGTAAAATTCACTTATTTCTACCTGCCTGTTAAGTGCAGCTCTTCGAGCTCAGCTGCGTGCTGGACAGCCTTTTAAACCCCAGCAGGGAGGACTCCATCGCACGCTGTACCTGGACTCTGCACCAGTGTTTAAGTCTGGATGCAACCAAGAGCAAAGACACTGTGTTGGGCGATTCCTGGTTCTTGCCAGACGCGCGCTACCACCCGCTGCCCCAGGCTCGGGCAGCCCGGCCGGCTGCAGGGTACAGCAGGCTGGTGGGGAGCCCAGTGGGCTGGTGGGGAGCCCAGCTCGGCCTCCTCCTAGCGCTGCAGCCAGGGACATGTCTGTGGCCTCCCGCAGCCCCAGGCGCTGCCCCCCGGCACGGTGGATGCCTCAGGCCTTCCTCAAAATGCTGTGGTGTCTCAGGATTACGACCCAAATGTGTCCCTTCTGTAAAACCAAGCACCAGTAAATCCTATGCAACTCTTACTCAAAAAGTGACAGCCCGTCAGTATAAACTCAACTGGTTCTGTAACGGGTTAGGCATTGGGCAAGTCCAGTAATGGAGCAGATGCATTCATAGGAGCAACTCACCCGTCTTGCCTCTTTGTCCTGCTGCAGCACCAAGCTGAGTAAGTGAGGGGAAACGCAGCTGTCCCCACTTGTGCCTCGTCAGGGTGTGCCCATGGGCAGAGCAGTATTTAAACCAGGAGCCTTCTCCTTCCAACTCCTTTAGGATAGCTACATCTTGGCTAGTCGTCCCCTGTGAGCAAAGAGATGCGTAGGAAGGCCTGTGATTAAGTGCTTAGAAGCAGAGCTCGTCCTGCAAGGTGAGACTGGCGTGGGGTACAAAGGCGCTGAGTCTGCACGGAGGAGAATCGCTGGTGGGGAGGTGTGGAGGGAGTCCCCTGGGGCTGGGGGAGGGGAGCGCTGTTGCCTGTGGCAAACTCCTCCCTGTTGCGTTGCGAGTGCTTGGGCCAGGGTGGAGAGAGCTGCTCTCTCCCTGGCTGCTGTAGGTTTATTCCTCGCAGAGGAGGGGAACAGACCCACCCCTGCCAGGGCCGTGGTGTCCCGGCACTACGGGTCGCTTGGCCCTTTCCCGGCACCCTGTGGTGGGGCTGGTGGCAGTGCTCATCCCGCGCCTTTCCGGCTGGCGGCCGCTCTTTCGGAAGAGGTGCTTTCCGGTCTCCTTTCCCAGCAGCTTGCGCTGGTGAAAGGCTGCCTGTTTGGCTGTCGTGTCCGTGGTGGTGTGTTCA